GATCTAATTAACAATTAGAATAGTGCTTCATAATTATGCTTTGTTTACAAATGCTATAATGCCCAATTCATTGTCCAGTGAAACTGGTCATTAATGAAAACCAAAGTCATGTTTTCCCTGGTGCTGAAATGCCGTGTTTCTAAGATGCCCTGGCTTTTTATGTTGCTTATATTCTTGTTGCTTTCTAAGGGCCATTTTTGTACAGTATTTAATGACTGCGTTCTAAAGTGAAAGCTAACTACATCATGCCTCATCTGGCACACTAATGTTATACGTTTTTGGTAATTTAGCGGATGGATCTGACTATAAACCTAAGTTCTTTTAGTACCAGAGAGCCTTGCAACAGAGAAAATCCAAGGGATGGCAAAACCATCAAGCAAACTTGATTTCTGAATGACAGCAAGACCTGGGAGACGTAGAGAATGGAGGGGCCCTAAAGAGAATTTGGGATGGGGGCTTAGAGAGGCAGGGAGTTGGGAAGAGACGTGACAGTTTCAAGCAGTACAATAGAAGCGACGTGAAGATCCTCATAAGAGGAAGCAGAATCCAGGCTCCTGGGAATTTGGAACTACCACTGAGAAAGGTAGTTCAGGGCAAATACAGACTTGGGAATTATCTGAAATAAAGCAAACATTGAAACCACAGCTAGAACTTCGGTAGATTTGGGATTTTTCTACAGAAATATGAAAAGAATAAAATGAAGACTAAAGGATAGGAGAATCTTCACATAGGCGAAATCACACAACTTACCTAGGAGAAATGTGGGAGCAGCGGGGGCAAAGCCAAAAGGAGAAGATGTCAGAAATCTCTTGAACCTGGCTCTGTGTCTTTCTTAGAAAGATGCCATTGTGCTGTGCAGTTTGGGGAAGCCAGAGGTTGCTGCGAAACAAGTTGCAGACTAGAGCAGGTGAGACCTCCTCTATTCAGTCTCTCTGTGCTCTCTGGGGAACTCTGGGCAAGCTGTGGCATGACTCTGTGTCTCAGTTTGGTCACCTGTAACTCAAGATGACAAGCTCATGTGCTCCTCCTGAGACTGTTCTGAGGATCAAGGACATTTCTCCATGGTAAGTGATGACGTCAGCACTGTGCACAGAGCACACATTAGCCATGTTTATATTGCAGCTTTGCTGGATTTCTGTGGCTAAAACACAGGCCATTCTCACCTAAAAGTAACAGCAGAGTCGCCACACAATGATTTCCCTGCGACTGTCTTAGGGCAGTGGTGTGGACACGTTACTAAAGGATCAGAATCCCTGGGAAAGCTCTCTGGCTCCACCCCTGCATTTCAGTGGGTCTAGGAAAAGTTGTGAGTTTGCCCTGCTAACAACCAGTACATAGCTCGTTCTTTGTTCAAGGACCGCACTTTGAGAACCAAGTGTCACAGTGAGTGGGGAAGAAACCCTGTAATACTGGGAATCAGTCAGGCCTTCAACTCCTCCAGTATCAAAATACAACTTGAGAGATCTCTACCTGCACACAGGTAGAACAGGCCCAGCTGTGAACAGGAAATGTAGTAGCCCAGATGTGTCTGTTCCATGATTACCCCTATGAAGTTCTAAGCCAATTTCTTCTGTGACCACACAAGGGCAGAGGACAATTTCAGGTCGTGACATGTCTTGTGAAGCACAAGGTGACCAATAGAGTCCCCGTCACCAACAAAACACGAGAGGGTACTGAGTGTTTACTTGTGAATCACACACTGTAAGACTCATTCTTCACTCACCCTCTTTGCCATTTTGTTCTCCCAACTGTGCTGAGAGCCAGATACCACGGGGAAGTAAATGGATACCTAGAAAGGGGGAGCCGCATATCCCAGGCCATAGCAGACGAGAGACAGAAGCCACCATTACAAGCTGGAACTAACTATCAAGCTTGTGCTCAGTTAGTCAACTGCACAGCTCTCTTCCCCAAACCCTCCAAAAAAGACTTACAAAAATCTGCTACCAGTAACCACAACTTACCTACATTTTATTTAAGTTTCTAAATAAACGAACCATTCTTTAGGAAGTGTGGCTTCTAGCTCCTTTGCCATACTAGTCAAGGTCCCTTGAATGTGCTGAAAGTTGTCACTGTCTCAGAATAGGTGGGTGTGGTCATACAGAGGTAGGTAGGTGTGTGTGTGTGTGTGTGTGTGTGTGTGTGTGTTACTAGGGATTGAATCCAGGGCCTTCTACATGCTAGGCACAAGCTGGACTGCAGAGCTACATCCTCAGCCTGGAATTTTATAACTTTTCTTAGCCCATGGGTACAGCTATCACATGCAAGAGGCATTATCATTTTAGGTTCTCACTGCTTATCCCCAGTCCACTGACAAACTAAAGCAAGGGCTGTTCTATGTAACTTTGCTTTTATCTCATATGATATTCATTTGTTCTTTATTTTGTTCAGTCCTTTTCAGTTTAGACAGTTGGAAACTAAAGCTTAGAGAAGAAAGCAGGCTTGGATAGAGTCACTTGGATCCTAAGAGGTTGAGCAAGGATTCACACCCAGCTGCGTCAGATGCTACTACGAAATATGCATCCATAGTCCAACCTCCTGAGAGCTCGTACAGTCTCGCAGTGTAGAGAGACAGACTTCTCATTAAGCTGAAAATGCAATTGCCTAAACTTCTGGTTCCGCACCATATGGCCAAATCCCAGCTGACAGGAAGCTCATTTCTGCAACACACTGGGCTCATTTCACCAAGTAGTTTGATGTGAGATTTACGGGGTGGTCATTTCCAGATCCTCTAAGCACTGGTTGCAGCAGTGGTATTTATTTTGAGGCTTCCTTTCTATACTTTTACAACAAAGAAAGCAAAGGCTAATGATGGAGAGAGTCTGGGTGCATCCCATATTATTCTCCAAATGAAATATCACTAATGTGCCCACAAATAACAACCCTCATTTTTCAGCCAGGAAAAATTACAGGCCTGGAGATTGAGGTAGGTATCTAGATCACACCGCAGGTAACCTCCTGACCAGGCACGAGACTATCCATTGCCCCACCGTCTCTGCACCCTGCATTCCTGCCACTATTGTGTCCCCTAGACTCCTTCAACTTGTAACTCTGCTGAGCAGATGATGTAAAGTGCTGAGGAGCCTGGAGCAGGAAAGCTTAATGAGGTTAGTGAAAGCGACAGGGAAGCTAGTACCAGGAGAATTCGGGGTTGTGGGAGTGTGAGTGTGTGTGTGTGTGTGTGTGTGTGTGTGCGTGTGCTGTTAGACCTATTTTGAGAGGCTGGAGGCTGGAATATTCAGAGAGTGGGGAAAATCTAGAATTCAGAGAAGACACTGGGGCTGGAGATTTAATAATCTCCCACCAAGAAAAATGAACATAAATGTGTGTGATGTGGTGGGGGGAACCAGATAAGCAAATTGCGGGGAGAGGTGACAACCAGGATGGCAACAGAAACGCTGGAGTTGAAAGAAGTTGTAAAGTAAAAGTAATAATGCAGAGAACAGATAATTTCAATAAAAGAACTCACAGTAATTTTAGATAATAACAGTCTACTGAGCTCTTGATATTTTAGCCAATTTACTGTTCTACATAGATTATTTCCTTCAGCCTTCCACCAATCTGAGAAGATACATTCTATTATACTAACATCAGAGCTCAACAAACAGACCCTGGCAGGTTAGATAATTTAAGGTCAACAGCTAGTAAAGAACAGAAATGACATTAAAATCACAGTGGGTTACTCTCAGAGCCTGAGCTTTTAACCACTATGCTACAATGCCTCTTTGGGAACAAAAGATGGACTAGAATTAGTGTAAACATCATCAGTAGCACAAGATGAAACAGCAGCCACACCTGCACCCACTGGTGAATACCATTTGCCCAAACATAGGCTCTCCTAATTCTCAGACAACTTCAGATGATAAATGTTTTCAACCCTGTTGAGCAGAAAAGGAAATAGGCTCAGTGATGCCAATAACTTGCCAAAGTCATACAACTAGCAGGCGACAGCAGTGGTTGAAAGCCATGTCTGCTCCAGTAGCAGGACACAAGCCACCCTATGGGACATGCGCAGCAGACAGCCACAAAAGACACATCTGCTGTGTGCTCAAATTTGGCAGCTCCAATGGTGGGATGGGAGAAAATTTTGCAAGCATTTTCAATATCAAATTCCTAGTCACTTCCACCATGGTTTCTAATTTAGCAAGTCATGGTTGGATATATGAATCCAAACTTCTCAGAAGTTTCCTCCATGATTCTTAATTTGGAACCAGGTCTAAACATTGCTTTTTCATGGATTCCATCCCCACTGCTATGAGCAAGGCTGTCAGTGTGTAAGGATAGTATGTGCTAGATTACATTTCTTTACAAGAGCACACATCCCAAACCAAATCTCAGGGCAGCAAGATGCAACAAAAGGACACATGGCACAAAAAGTTTTTACCATCAAACTCCAAGGAGGTTCAACTACCTTGCTTTTAAAATCCAGGAAACTGGCCTCATTCACTCTTATACACATCATTTGTTTCAGTTTGGGCTGCAATAACAAAGTACCATCGACTGGGGTGGGAGGGCTTACTAATAAAGAACAGAACAGTTCGGGAGCTGGGAATCTGAGATCAGCTCTCAGCATGGTTGAATTCTGAGGATGGCCCTCTTCCAGGTGTAGACTGTTAATTTCTCAGTGTATCCTCATATGGGGTGGGCTGTGGGTTGGGGAGGAAGGAGAGGGGAAAAGGGAAAGGAGTGAGGGGGCGCAGGCAGAGAGGCAGACAGAGACAGAATGCAAAGGAGCCTGTCGTGCTTATGAGTGTATCGGCTGATATCTCCAGCCCCTATAAGGCCACTAATCGCAATCATGGGGTTCCATTCTCAAGACCTAATTATCTTGCAAAGCCACCACCTTCCCATGTTGTCACACTGGGGGTGAGAATTTCAACATACACATTCTCCTGGGGATGGGGCGCGAAGGGGGCAAGTACCCCACCCATAGCACCATTTCAGTTTTTCTTAAAAATACATATGGCAGCATGAGACCAATTACACGATTAAAATTTCCTTACCTAAAACTCTTAATCTCTCAGCTCCTACTACCACTTCATTGTCATCTGCAGAGAAGAGCAATTTTCCAGAAACTGTTTTTACTTCAAACTTTTTGCCATAAGCTTCTACAGCTTTTGGACCTAAAAGGGAGAGAGAGAGAGAGAGAGAGAGAGAGAGAGGAAGAGAGAGAGAAAAGAAATCAGAAATGCATTAGTCTCATTGCATTTGACTACAAAAAGCTTTTCATAGAACATACGCGTCTGACAAGATTGGGTTGGACTTTAATGTCAAGTGGATTGGTTTTCAGAAGCCAACCATGAAAATCAGGCTCTTGACTCGAGTCATATCCCGTCAATTATTTTTAATCACATGCTCTCAGGCTATGATTTGAAAGATCATCATGTCCTCCTTCCAAACTAATGGTTGAATGAAATTCCTCTCTGCTAACCACCCGATTAGTGTCAAATAGGGGCGAATTTTTGGTTGAATGCACCCAGGCCCATGAAGCTCACCACTCACCACTCTTCAGGGCAACTGCCTGTCCCTGGCAGCCCTTCCTATCAGGGCTCCCCTAAGTCCTGTTGCAATCCATCTTGGCATCAAGACAAGTCTGTTTCCTCGCAAAAATGACTAAAATATATTGGAATTAACTGCCTTAGATGTTGTCTAATATTTTATGCTCGAAATTCTCTCCATAAAACAAATAAATATAGTTTAAGGGCTGGGGATTTAGCTCAGTGGCTCTGCCACCTGCCTCACAAGCCCAAGGACCAGAGTTCAATCCCTGGCACTGGAAAAAAAATATATATGTATTAGTTTATTGTGCGATGACAGATGCTGTTCCTGCAATTGGGTTGTCTAGAGTAGTAGAGAAGGAAGACGAGACCTCTGGTGCCAGCACATCTATATTCGGATGGAGAAATACTGATGTACATTTAACAATTCATTAATAAGTGATTCCAAAAATCGCAGAGAATTTTAGATACTACAGAAAAAGTAAAACAGGTTCAAGTGTTAGAGAATTTCATAAAGGAGGAGTCATTTCTGTCTGTCTGAGCTGGTATTTTGTGTGAATCTCAAAATTTGGTCTACAGAAATACAACAGAATAACCCACGGGTGTAATTATCCCCACTTAACCTAGCTCTGATCAAGAAGATTTTTTTCTTTTGATCTAGCACTTCTTACAATTAAACTTGATAGAAGCCAACATCTTATATTTCCCCAAATTATATAAGAAATTCAAATATACCATTTTTTGTTTTTCGTTTTAGGAATTTTTTTCAAGAGACTATTACTAAACACTAAGTCATAATAAAAGGGTCCTCAAGGCCTACCAACCAGAGATCACCGGGACTGCATGTGCAGGTGAACAAGGCTGGCTTTGTCCTCAGTGTGGGAGAACAAGGGCACAGCATAGCCGCCCCAGAGCCTCTCAGTAAGAAGCTATGAAAAGGACTCACTGTAGGGTTTGACCTCATCCTACGGATATTTTTAGGAAGGTATTAGGAGCAAAATGAAGATGAAATACTATCATGAAATTAGAGGAATTTTGTGCCTGGGTATCTTAACAAATCTTACCTGAAAGTAGGAACGACCAGGGCAACACTAAACTGGTCACATTTAAGGAAACAACAGCCACTTACATTCAGTAGCATAGGAGACGTTCGGTGTTTTTGTGGTATGCACAATGCTGTTTTTTTGACTGAGTTTACAGTTGATTAGCATTGTCTTTGTGTGTGTGTGTGTGTGTGTGTGTGTGTGTGTGATTGTGTGTGCATATGTCTGGATCTGTTATGGCCAATGAGTGGACCTTTCTGGTGATGTTCTATAAAATTCTTTATATTTACACAGGAGAACTCTGTTGCATGACTGATAGTTCCAGGCCATCCCCTGGCATGGTTTTGTCATTGTTAATATTACTGTACTGGTTTAGGAATCAAAAAGACATAAGTCATGTTCTAGCTCTCACTTTTTGGTAATGTCACTTGGAGAAAATCATTTGCTTTCTGGAACTTCCAGTTTTTCCACCTATAAAACTGAAATACCATCAACTCCTCTATGTACCTCATACAAAGGTTGAAGGGATCAAATGATATTGTATTTGTAGAAAGAACTCTGTGGGTGGAAAAGTGCTGCTCTTGTGGTTATCAATGTCACTGTCATCACCATTATCAGTTTGTTTCTATTTCAGGGGTCACAATGCATTAAGAGTTATTAATGGTGAGTGCCTCAGTATACTTCTGCTGGTCACATAATTGTATCCATCTGGTCGCCCTCATCTCTTGCTCATCCAACACTAGCTTTCTGACACAAAAAAGGAGAGTGGAAAGGCTTCTTAATGAGCCAGAGGCTCCAACAGCAGAGACAGCACAGAATTTCTAAGCAGTACAGGTGAAGAAACCAAGCAAAAGCCAGGTTGTAGGCTCTCTCAAGGTCACTGCTAAGCTAAGAACACATCAGAACCTGGAATCCAGCTCTCAGAATTGTTCCCCAAAAGATAAACGAGGTCTATTTGTCTAGAAAGGCAAAGAGGACTCGAGTCTACATGAATAGAACAACCAGGTATTAGTGAGCTTTTTGAGGGTGAGGGAAAGCAGAAAATCAGAGACAAGGACCAGAGGGAGATTGTGAAGAACAGGGATGTGTAGTGAGGGATTTGGATTCAGTGATGGTGAACTTTTAAAGCTTTCAATGATATAAACAGCCTGCTGCAGCACATGTGCCATAGGTTCACCACCACTGCATTAGGTATATCTGTGAAGAACAAGAAGTAGCTGTCATTATGATTGCATCAAAACTTCAAGTAAGATCTTCATAACTTGTGAATACTTTCAAAGCAGTATGTTTTTTGTTTTGTTTTGGTTTTTTTTTTTGGTACCAGGGATCAAATTTGGGACCTTGTGCTTGTGAGGCAGGCAGTGGCACCGCGGAGCTAAATCCCCAGCCCAAGGCAGTACCTTTTGGAAAGAGAGGTAAGGGATGAAGACATAATAAAGTACAGTACTAATGATGAATGAACACATGAATGAAGGACCCAAGGACAGACATAGGAAAGGACTCGTTCCACACTCGAGATCCAGTCATGTGTCAAAATAGGAGAATAACAGAAGAACACAGACTCAGGCTTTGCCTCCGTTGACCTGGGTAGGATCATAAGATATTGACCCCTTTCCTGGGTATGGACTGAGATTTTTCTGGATTCCTGCATGGGTGGTGGCACTTACTGGAAAGCATACTGCAGAGACCACAGCAATCAAAGCATACAAAGTACAATTCAGTTATCTTGATTTTTCACGGCCTCAAAGAAGACAAAATGGAATTTACCAGGGCCAAAACCACTTGCATAGCTGAAGGTCAGTAATTGGTAGTTTTAGTAATTTTTTTTTTTTTTGGTACTGGGGATCAAACTCGGGCCCTTGTGCTTGTGAGGCAGGTGGCGGAACCACTGATCTAGATCCGCAGCCTAGTAATTGGTAGCTTTAGCCAAAACCCCACAGAGCAGCTGCTGGCTCAGTGGTGCAGACAGCTTGCCCTTTGTGGATTTCACCCAGGGCCGCCAAACTGCTCTGGACTGGGCTGGAAGCTTCCAAAATGGCCCTAGAGGGACCTGCAAATGAAGCAGGAGCCTGCTCTGTAGATTCCTTGGTGAGCCCGTTGTTCCTCTCTGGGGTGGAAGAAAGATCACCGTAATGTGAAACTAATCCACAGTTCATCTGCTCTGTGTGTGGCAGCCTGTGTGTGAAGCACCTTTTTAATTAATCTCCTCAACGGGGAGGAGAACTGGAGCCCATCGCGGTGCTTTGGCAGCATCCACGATAAGCCACGGCCTAGAGTCTGGAGCTGTGGCCACGCAGCCCGATGATCTCCAAGGCAGTTGCCCCTTCTCCATTTCAGATGGTGCCGTAGAAGATAACCCCGCCACAGCCATTCATCTGGTGTTTGCTCTCACTCCTGACCAAAAAAAAAAAAAAAATAGCCCAACTGCAGGTCACCTAGGATCGTGGCCTAAAGCAGGAACTTGGAGGTTACGGGAGGCATTGCTTCATGCACTAAAGATCACCTGAACGTCTAGCTTTAGACTCTGTAATGGGCTCTGGAGACACTTTTTAGGTAAACGGGAGAATTTCTGAATGCTAAGGAGTTTCTTAGTAGATCTCACTGCTTAAAACACAGGAGTGATTTGCTTTGTGATAAGTGTACCACCCAGCGAGACGGGAATTATAAAGTACTGTCTGCTGCAACTGCGTGTTGCTTTGCACTCTGTGTAATGCAGAAAATGTAATGTAAAAGGACCTGATGGAAAACTTTACAGGTATGATTGTGTGTGTGTGTGTGTGTGTGTGTGTGTGTGTGTGTGTGCATGTTAGGAATCATACTGTGAATACATCTATTATCCCCTCTAGAAATCATCCTCGAAGCCTCCTCTTTGGATGAGAATCCTTTTACCCCTCTCATTTTTGTATTACTCGGCTTCTATTTTGTATTATTCACCTGAAAAGTTAGGAAGCGGCGTCTTTAAGCTCTCATGAGAGAGCCTCACTTGGGAAAGGGAAACAGAAAGTCAAAGACTACTGAAGGATGAAGGTAAGAGAAAGGAGAGGGCAGAGAGGAGAGAGGGCAGAATGGAGAGGGAGGGGAAGGGACATGGGGGCTGGGATGGCAAGAGAGAGGGTGGATGAAGAAGAGAAGGAAGAGAAAGAAAAACGGAAACGAGCAGGGGAGGGCAGAGGATGGGGAAGGAAACGGGAGTCAGGGAGGAGGGCGCGAGGACAGAGATAGAGACGAAGACTGAGGTGGAGGGAGGGAGGGAAAGACTGCTGACTCTGTTTGGTGACTCATAGGTCATTTGGCCATTTCCAGCTTTATCAAAACGAAAATATCTCAAGTAAACGAAATCTCCTTCTGCAAATAAGTGGCAAGCGATCAACAGGCTAAGTGGGTTCCCTTGGAACCAAAGAATCTGGGAGCTGGAGGTTTGGATTTATTTCCCTCCTGGAGGCAATTATCACACATGCCGTCTAAATCACTGCTTACTGAAGCTGTGTGTTTAATTATTTAGCGCGGTGAATGCAGGCCAGATGTTATATAAGCACCGCCAACAATCCAGTTGCATGCTGGAACAGCACGTCTGCGGATCACAGGCTCTGCTGTGCAGGAGTTCCTCCAATCCGTGAATTCCTCGCCTGCTGGATGGGCCAAGCCACCCTGTGGCCGGGCATCTCCAGACCACCGTATGTAGTTGTCCTGAGGAGTGGGGCTCTCTCCCTAGCAGAAATGACTCCACCACAAAGGCATCTGTTTTCCTGTGGCTTGCTGATTAGTGGGGCTCCAGAAATTTTACTCACAGTCATGTTTCAGGGTTTGTGGGCAACCTGCTTCTCAAATTTCCATATGGATACTTTTCACTTAGCTCTGAAGTCAAACAAATGGCCTTTTTATCTGGAGGTGTAACAATGCCATTGGAACCCACATCCTTCTCCCCTCCACTGTGGGCTGCATGGTGACCATTTATAGCATGTACACTGATCATACCATGTAACACAATACTGTGGCCACGCAGCACACATGTGTCGTTATGAAGAATAACCAATTCTTATTCAAAATTGGGGAACAGGCAGCTTAAAACCCAGTGTGTACCTTTCACAGCTGTTAGAAGCAGATCTTCTATTTAAAAAGAACCACACCAAATGTATTTCATGGATACCTCTGCATCTTGCAAAGACGTTGGGTTCAGAGACAGCAAGCACATATAGCAAATATAGCATGGATTCAAATTATCATTAAAAATCCCTCTACAACCCCTAACGTACAGTGTGTGGCTTTGCACACACTCAGCTTGCTCAATTTAACACACCCAGTTTCTTTCAGCAGTGGAGCAAGGAGCTTTCTTTGCTTGGGAACCAGGTGAAGCAGCTGGCTTGAATTGCAGGGCCATGATCTATGGAAAAAAAAACTTTGCTTTCTGCTAAGCAGGTATCACTGGATCTACAAATAGGTGTATCCTTTACCATCCCAAACTATATGCTGTGTTTTCTTTCTCAACAGAGTAAACATGTTAACAAACCTTCTTTTCAAAGTGTTTCATTTGACCTTCAAGGATACATTTTCTGAGTTCCTAGTGTGGACTAGCGTGGACCAGCGTGGACCAGGCCTTCCAAGGTTCTTTTTTTTCTTACCTGTTATCAGCTGAGTTAGCACTTTAGTCTGATCATTGAGAATGTTCACTGTCACATTTCTGGCAGATTTGAAGTATAGGGCATTACCCTGTAATAAGAACGTGAAAGAAACACGTGAAAATGGCAGATCTCTGAACTAAAAGAACTTTAAGTCAGCAAGTGACGGAACTGGTGTTAGCCAAATTCCAATGGATTCATCTTGAGTTGAAAATACAAAATGTTTAATGATGTTCACACATGTGAAAATCAGTGGGTATATACTCCAAGTAGATCCTCTTAAACATACAGGCATGCGCACGTGCACACACACACACACCACATGCACAAAACACATTATTACAGTTGAGCCAGCAACAACTGGGAATAGAGCCGCCTAGGGCTTGTTGAAGACGTGAGCTCGCCATCTTGCTCACACCTTCTCCAGCAAACCACAGAGTCCTCCTTAGAGGAGGGCAGAAAGCCGGTGGGAAACACTCACAGCCACAGGGTCATCTGTGGAAATACTTGGGGGACCTGCTGCAGCACGTGCAGGTGAAACCCAGCACATCCATAAGCCTCTGCCTTCCTTTCTTCTTATTATTTATTTTTGTTCCTGGATTTCTTTGCTTCCAGGTTCTCTGTGCCACCATCTACTCTCCTCTCTGGTGAAGGTAAGCCGGACACTCCTGAACGTGACTCAGAACAGGGCTCGTAGTCCTTCTCCACAAACGGCCTCACGGCAGATATTTCAGGGATGTGGTCTTTGCTATAACCACTCAGCTCTGCTGTGCCGTGTAAAACAGTCTGGGACAACACACAGAAGGAGGATACACTAGCATTCCAAGGAAACATTACCTTTACCTATGAAGAGTGATATTAGAATTTTTGCATCATTTAACCTTTTATTTCAAATCTTACATAATCTTAATGTATCACGATGTATTAGGCTTCCTTTCTTTTACCTTCCCATCACAACCATTTAAAAATAATTCTTAATTTGCTGGCAGTATGCAAGCACTAGATGTAGCCTGAAGGCTATTACTTGCTAACGTCTTTTTTCCGAAGATCTCCTTTTCAGCAATACCTGCCAGGATCATCCAGTCCTTCTTAGAAAAACAGAATTTGGCAGTCACTTCTGTCTTTGCAAACCTCTGTCACCACATGGCATACTCCTGTCTGAATATTCAGTTGTACATCTGTGGGCTGAGTCTGTCCAGATAAACATGACCACTGTCCTACAAGAGAAGCAAAACTCAATCTTCACCTCCAATGTCTTACCTTCTACCAGGGACGACTATGTGAGACAGTGAATACAAGAACCAATCAGGCAGCTCCAAAGTGTTTGGAGACCTTCCCAGAGGAGGGATAAACATTTGTGCTGACCCTAGTAAAGAATATATGTGTGTGAGAGTTTACCAAGTTGACAAAGACAGAAAGACAAAGGTCATGAAGGAAAGAGTCGGCTGGGTGTCCAATATCTTTCTCCTTGTAAACTGCTGGAGCCGAGGCCTGCATTAGGGAGCCCAGTCTAGTACCTGCATACAGCTTTCATAGTGGTGGAGAGAAAATACAATGACAGCCACTGTACACTGACAGTCTGGAGCCACAATGCCTCTCATCTAAGGTTATCTGCAAAGAGGATAACCAATGCCTCTAACCCATCCAAGCCCTGAGTCATCAGATAACTGTGAGTGAGAGCTACTGACCTAGGATGGGGGAAACAGTCATTTCTGACATATCTAGTAATGCCTAATTCAGTACAGCCCTCTACAGTTTACAGTTCAATTGCCTCCCTGTAAAAAAAGGTGTTGCTTTTCCTTTTTGAAACTGGGTCAAGAAAGAAGTGCCTTTAATATAATATTGTCATACCATTTTTGTGGTGAACATAAGAAAACGAGTATTAGCCTAAAATAGTTTGTCATTGTTTCGGAGTCCTCAGCAACTCTACTTACAACTTCAAAGCCATTCAAAGGAAGTTCGAACCCAGAGCTTGGAATCAGGACAGGTGACTGTATGTTTCTAGAAGTTCATGTACTAAAATCTATCCTCATACACTGCAGAGAAGAGTGACATGGAGTCAGAAAACTGGATAAATCCCCTTAGCATTGATGCAAGGGAAGCCTTGCGCAACTCAGCTCACTCCTCTTGCTTGATTCTTTGCATTTTTAAAAACCATCAATACAGAGCTCACCACTGCCAGGAAGGAGAACTCTCTGTGTGCCAGGGAAGCTGGAGGAGATCTGGAGGAGAAAGCTAATTTCCACTCGCTCCTCCACCACTTGAAAGCTCTGTGGACACTGAACGGGTTACTTAATTACCCTAAGTCTCTATTTAGTTACTCTAGGGTGCAAATATTAAATTATTAAATTCTTGAGTTGTGCTTACTAATACATGTTAGCATTCCACACGTAATTATGAAAAGACATGTGGCCCACTGTCGGGCACACATTAGGTCCTCAGTTATTTTAGGGCAAGGAAAGGAGGAGGAAAAAGAACCAGTGAGCAACACAAAAGGAAGAGGGAGAAAAGGAAGAAGAGGTGCGAAGAAGGAAAAGGAGGAGAGAAGCTGAGAAGCAGACAAATGACTGGGAAGGCTAATTACATCACCGATATTTTTTGTCCAACCTATTAGAGTGAAACAGGATCCCTTACATTTGCAAAGTTCTCTGTTTCCATCTTTCAAAGGGTCTCTCAATATAAGCCATTTACTCACCATTGTCTTTCAAATCCTGGTCTCTTCAAATAATACCTGTTCACCCTTATTAGTGTTCAAATAAGTCTAACATCTGAAACATCTCTTAAGAGCTCTGCCCAACCTTTACAGGGAGAGATGTAATAAAACCATGTATTCTGCTTCATTACCATGTCCAAAACATTACAGTTTAACACTCATTGTTCTAACATGCTAGCAACCTGGAAAATAGTATCCTTGCTACATCAAGGTTTAAGCAAAGAACCTCACTCTCCCATGAGGCAGGTTGCTATAATCCTGAGGTACACATATGACACAAAGGTTACTAAGAAGAAAGCACGACCCAGCTACCACATGAAGAGCCTCACAGGGTGGCTGGGTCTCTGCGATTTTTTAGTTTGTTCTCTGACTTTTCCTACTCAGATGGAAGACTAAACCAGGAAAACCTACTAAGACTAAACTAGGAAAATACCTGCCAAGTGAAGCATCCCTGAAAGCCTCCTCTGTCTTAGAACAAGAAATACTCTTGGGTCCAAAGAGAGGGGACCTTCTGCCCTCGCATCCTCTTCACATTTCTCAGGGGTCTCTCCCACTCACCGCCCTGCCTGTGTGAGCTCAGGGTAGCCTTGGAGGACACGAGGGTTGCAGGTAGCGGTCTGGGGGCTCAGCTCTGCTGCAGGAAAGTTGTCTGGCAGATTCTCACCTGAAGATGCAGACCACTCACGTCAGTGGGTGCCCAGTCAGCCTGCGCTTCTGGACAAAGGGCCACCACATGGGAGACACAGAAAGCAGGCAACTCACTATCTTCCCTGGCGGGGGGAGAAGGAGAGGTCCAGGTTCACTCTCCTCTCAAACAACTCAAGGGCACCTGGTGCTGGGATTCTCAGCACACAAAGGTTTTGATGGGAATAAACCACAAATGTCTGTGTTTCTTTAAAGCAGAATAAACAGAAGGGTCTCAAATCCTTCCCTGATGAGTTGGGGGCCACTGAAATGAACATTGTTTATTCCACCATGTCCTCCAGGGCTAGTATGTGCATGTGGCTATTTGACCACTAACTGCTCCAGCATGCTGACATTTAAAAATTATTGTATCTGATTTTTAAAAAATGTACAATTTATTCTTACAGCAAAGCAGAATGTGTAAATGTCAGATGCTACAAGCCTTGCAACGAAGAGCAGCAATTCACACCTCTCACAACTACAAGAGCCTTCAACTGTTCTGGGTGATTCTTCAGGTGATTTCCTCCTGTGGCCTGAAGCGTGCCTCTGTGCCACCTCTAGATCTACCAGCTTTTAGATGTCACCCATCTAATTTCTCTAATGGTACTGACTTTTAATGTAACTTTGGTGAAGTCGATATTCATTCATTTTACATGGTTCAACTCATTCCCCATCCTGAACTTTGGATATTGAAGGCCATCAGTTCACGAGCACGGCCAGAGCTCTGGAGTTTCTTGTTTCTTCTTTGCGTCCCTCACTGAAAGATTGTGGATTCTAGTTTTGCCAGGTCGACTGCCTGTCATGCGCCCACTTAGAATCTTAAATGCTTCTGATGATATTTCTTCTCTATTTTATATTTTTCCTGTCTCCATGACCCTATGAAGTTATTCCCCACCCTCATTTCTATGTCTTTCAGGGGGATTTTTGAAGGAAGCAGGCCCTGTTCTTCCTCACAAGTGTTCCTCTACCTCTAGATGAATTTCATCCTATCGTCGTCTTAGGAGAAAAGGTGGTTAAAACTGTGAATATCGAGTGCAGGGAATGACCAGTCCAGGACCCAAGAGCTTCTCTTAAGCACCTCTGTACAGCAGTGTCGTATGTAGAACACAGAAGATTGTGTTCCGGGCTCTGGACAATGGGAAATGCAAACAACTTTTATCTTCAGGAAGCGTACAGCCCATCAGGAGGCTGAGTTAATGCAAAAGAACTACCACAGCCATGTGATAATATTTCAATCCACTTTTATGCTCTCCTGGCATGAAAGGCACAGATCTTACTATTTGCATTTCACCAGAACCATATCTCCAGTCTGTTTTAACACGACGTGGCAGCCAGAAGTTGCTTATCTTGAAAATCCTACACTGTGGCATATCTTCATTGCCCTTGTACGAGTCAACACTTTGCTCCAGGAATTTAGATAAACAGAAAAAAACGCAAAATTGTGCACACACAAACAACTTCTTCACACAGAAAGGCTCTGAACTCTCAGTGTGAAAGAAGTTCAGAAGACAAAAGGTTGGCACGGCCGGAATCCTAAAGGCAGTCTTGCCAAGAACTGGGCTGACTTTTGTCCTCTCCTCCTAACACAAGCCCACAACAATTTTGTTTCTACCTCACACCCAGGTAGGTTCCAATGAAGGCTGGCTTTGAGGGCTGAGATGCAGAGTGCAAGCTCAGGCATCAGGCAGAGTGGG